TTTCCGATGACAACTTCTACATGAGCAAGCGCAAACTTTAATTTCCTATGATCTCACCTAGGTGTGTAAACGATTCCCTTTCCAACTAATCAGCGCATCTTATGAGATTCTCAACAGGTTTTAGACCATAAGTTAGTCTTTGTGAAATGTTTCTCAGCTATATGACCAGCTCATCAATAAAAACAATTGTATTAAATCGCGAACTTAGTCCTTTCATATGCACCAGTTGGATTACTTAGGCGCTCAGCTGAAGTGAAGTCTTTCCTGTTGTAATCTATGACTTCTAGGTGAAAGCTTAGACTCATCCCTGCAGAGTAGTTCATCGCTCAAAAACAAATAAAGTAGCTAAAAGAAAAACTAACTTTCGGATAAGAACATACCTTTTGATGAAGAATTTTCAAGATTTAATGTTTCTAGTCAAAGCATTTTGTGCCCTGCGTCACATCAGAATATTTGTTCTTCAATTGTTTCTTTTATATTTGAATATTGCTCATACAGCTGTAGGAAAAAGTCATGACTCATTATGCTGGTCAATTTATTTGCAGATTATGTTTGTTTCGAAAAGGAGATGAGTTTTTCAATGACTCAAGGATGTTTACTTTATCATGAAGTAACTTTCATTTTCTCCAGTTGGTAACCATGTGATCGTGTTTTTGGCGAGGAAGTTATTTGCTTGGTAAAAAACACGTGGAAATAGATGAAAAATTATAAATAGAATGTAATATTTCTTTCCTCAAATGGGAGAATTTCACTAAAAATTAATGGCATACAAGTTTCTTACAATACATTAGTTTTGAGCAATTTTCAAATGAGTGTGGAAAGTAATCCGATATTGCTTTGGTTTTACTAAGCATCGCTCTACTATTGGTTTAGAAACCTCGTGCCATCTAAACGAATCAGATGCAACGCTATAAGAAATTGAGTCATTCGCCTTTTCCCGCGCTTCAGCCAATTTTCTTATTTTTACTTTGAGTTCTCGTTATCTCGTGATAATGTGAATCTTTGTTCGATTGGTCGCTGGGATTACTTTGGTTTTCGATTTTCGAAACTCAGTTGGAAAATCGTTTTCATTTAAGACTATGAAGTACTACAATTACTTTTTAACGACACACTTCCTACATATAAATGCTAACAATCCAGTGACACTTAACACTAGGCGTACACGACGGAACATGCTTTTATTTCAATTTGCAGTTACGGAGGCTAATGATTGCATTGCAAACACAATTAGCGAAACTAATAGCTAGGAGGGCGGTCTTATTATACAAAAACGGAATAGAACGCGAAAACTTGAAAGGTTAGATTTTGTTTGCTACGGCTGACGCTTGGGATACCAGTTGGCTTTATAGTTATGTCAATAGAGCAGGAAAAACCGTGTGGATTCTTATTTTCTGTCTTAAGATATTAATTTAGCGGGTAAATTGTAAAAATTGGGATGGGAGGTTAAAAAAAGTTATTCCAGCATTCACCAAACGAATACAAGAAAATAAAAAAAAAGAAAGAAAATCAAAGAACCACGGTCTTATGTCTGTTGAGAAACTTCCAAAGAACTAAATTTCAGAAGAAAACTTTATCCTGTCAAAAGGGAGATTAGGCGGGGAGAGTTAATTAGAAAGAACGGCTAAGACTGGTTTAAAAGTCAACAAAGTGCACCTGGCTTAAAAGTAACTTTATAGTCAACGAACAACAATACATTAACCAGACTCGTAAGAAAGGCCACACCACTCAAATCTTTCAACTGATGGCATAAAAATTTCAGTGCAATTCTGCAGCACGGGGAGTCAGTGATGGCTTGGTAGTTATAAGTAGGATCAACATGGTTATTTTGAACCCTTAAAATGAATTTTTACGCCGCCAAACATAATCAGCAGGATATCTTTGTTATGTTAAGGGTGGTTTGTTAACAGGTGTAAGCGGACAAGAAGCGCTTATACCGACGACTTTTCTCGATAAAAGACAAGTCACACAAATCGTTCTTCAGCTAGAATATTCACAAAATTGACAGGTAAGGTGTTTACCATTGTAAAATTTTTTACTTTTGATTCAAGCCCCGAGATAAAGAAACGGATTTATAAGTTTGACAGTTTATTGAGCTGCTATTGGAAATTGCGACGAGATTTTGCGTTGTTATTTTAACTGGTTGTACTGATCCATTTACTCTGAAAGTTCACCGTCTTGTTAGAGGCGTTTAATTGGTGGAAAAACGTTACTGTTGTATTCAGTAAAATTAATATTGGGACATAATTTTAAAAATAAAATGTATTCGGTTAATAAATAATCTTTCAAAGACAAGTATCTGAATTTCTTAACTGCTTTGCCTAAAAAGATTTCAAAAGTCAGCTATAATATTTTGATATAGGTGAGCACAAGTCAAATATTCAGTTAACTTATTACCGTGTTTGGCAGACTGTTGTGCAAGTGATAAAAGACCAAAATTTATTGAGCATCGATAGAATTGTTCCTGCACTTCATTTACATGTTAGTGTTTTAGCTGTTATTTGTCCAATACAAGCCGAATTATCTTCGTTTACTGTGTGTAATTTCCGCAGCTGATGTTCACGATTTTAAACAACTGCTAAAATTATACTATCTGGGGAGAAGCTGATACCAAGACCAAACGACGGAAATCGGAAGTTGTTCAAAGATAAACTAAAGAATAGCATTGAACTAATGTTTGCGAACGTTTGAAAGTGGAGCGTTTAATTAAATATTGAACAAGGAAGGTCGGCAGCTTTCAAAGAAGATGATCGGCTTTATTCTCTAAGTAATTGGATGTAACCAGAAAGTTCTTTAAGATAATCAATGAAAGATGTGAAACAGAAGTAGGATTTTTCAATCGCAGAGTCCATTTTTTTTTTGGTCTTTGATTCATACGAAAGCAGAATTTTTTACTACTCAGCTACTGCTTAAGCCGACAGAAAGTGTCTTCTAGGTAGGCATTGGACAGTAAATAATGACTTGAACATATGCTAATTTCAGGCCAATTTAACATTATCTTACCGTTTTTCAATAGTATGAGTCGAGATGGTGAGTTTTAGGCACAGAGGCCGCCGATCTTTTTTTTGTGGAAGAATATGAGCGCAATAATTTACAAGCAACGGTTCTCTGTCGTCATGATCTCTTTTAACAAGTAAATTTATTTCAAAGATTCCCGCTCTTTGAACTGTTTTCCTAATTGAAAAAGAAGCAGCTGCTTTAAGTGTATCGCTGAGAAAAAAAACAGAGATAGCCGCGTGACCTATGAACGACAACATGTTTCGCTGCGAAATCTTTCTCGTGCAAAGATCAATGTTGATTTGATGAAAAGATCCAAAGGATTGGTACGTGTTTGTGCACACGTAATTCCTAGGTAGCCATATATGCTTAACCATGTAAAAGGAAAGGGTAATTTAGTATTATCAACTCAGTTGATAGTACCCAATTACCCTGTTATACTCTCCCACTGACGCAGCACCACAGTTTCTTTAGAAACTTGCCCCCTTTATTCAAATACAAAAAGAAAGTTTGTTGCAGGCTAGATATTGAATCCAAGGCACTTTACAAATCACGGGACGCAGATGACATGATGACTTGTGAGAGACGCCTTTTTGACCGTTTTTGTTTAATCGCAGTCATTTTGTACCCAATGATGCTGTGGAAAAGAGAAACTGTTACGTGTATGTCTTTTATGATCATCAACGTTTGTTGTGGTTCTACTGTCCTTCAGAAGGAACGATTCCCCCAAGGTAAGTTGGTATAAAGTGAGGTACGAGAATTGCATAATCAGGGGGGGAAAAAAGGTGCTCTAAATCGTTCTATACTTGTTTTCTATTTAGCATTGTTTGAACTGATGTTTGGGGCAGTTAATGATTTTTTTCCGATAAAAGTAGAGAAAGATTTTTACTGCAAAAGGCAGATTTAGATTTCGTGCTCATTTACGATAAGAAGAGAACAAGTTGAATTTGAAAGCAAGGTGGAAAAAAATTTCAACGAAACTCCAAGATGGTTTCCTTTTAGCTTATGCTTTTTAAGATTTACCTTGTCTTCCTTTCTTCACTTCTCTCGTAAGTCTGCCTTCATCAACACTTCGTCCGTCATCACTGTGTACCCATCAGTCTAGTATGCTCGAAATTAATTTTACACAAACTTACCATTTTTAATAAATTATTCGGAAAATATCACTGAAGGAAGTTGTGCTCTCTCAAGTTTTAAGTTTATTTTGTGAAATGAAATCTGTCACTCCTTTTAGTTACAATACCATCCTCCTGATACAAATAATCCCAAAATATTCAAGGAGGCAAAGAAATATTATTCTGTTCTCCTTTTTGATTTAAGGTATGGACTCTTGTGGACAACGTATTCTTCACTCAACAACCAGTAATTACTATGGAATGGCTATTACAAGAAACAATGTGATAGACAAGCGAATAGTGGGTGGGAGAGTAAGCAGTGACGGTGCATGGCCTTGGCAGGTTGCTTTAATGCTGGATGATGTCCAAGTGTGTGCAGGCTCAATTATCAGACCTAACTGGGTTTTAACTGCTTGCCATTGTTTCACAGGTGTGTGAATGACGCGAAAAATCCAAGGTACTCTAATAATATATGACGAAAATGGTCGTAAATGAGTTTCTAACCGAAACACCTCAGCTAATGAGAGGCCAGAAAAAAATTTAGGAATTTCACACAGACGCCAAACAAGGAACTTCCTTCTTCCATCGAAGAGAGCTCGCTAGTATTTCTTAAAGCAAAAGTCATGTCATTGTATCCTTGAATATTAAATTTCCACCTCCTAAGCAGGATGATAACTTTGTCTGAAATATATCTATATTTAAACAGATTATCGGTCAACAAAGGATCCAACTCGCTGGAAAGTTAAACTTGGTGCCAATCCTCTTTCATCAGAGTCGAAAGAGTTTCAACAAGTGAGAGGAGTAAAGAACATCATCGTGCACCCAAAGTACTGGGGTAAAACTGTTCAAGGTGTGCTTATTCAGCCTCCAGATTATGATGTAGGTGAGTCAAAACCCTACGATAGGGGAAAAAATCCTCATCAGGAAATGATTGTTATAAAATATAATTAGAGTGCAAGCTGGATGATTTTAAAAAATAACGAAATTATTCTCATAGCTAAACTAAACTGAAGAAATTGTAGGAAGACAGTCCTGAAAACTGAATTCGGGGTCGACGGAATTTGAATCCGTACCTCCTTGATACTCATTGGGCACAACCACCGACTGAGTCACGAAGCGTTATGTTAATATTCACCAAGTAGGGGTCCTTTGTGATAATGGCAGTCGCTCCTCCTTATTTCTCCCAGATAAGAAACTCCCACTCGTATATGTTCAGATCCTCTCCTGGAATTTTCACAGTTCTTCCAGGGAAAACATTTTACATTACGTTGCCTTTGAATAAAGTGGCTTTGTTTTCAAGGTGTTAAACTGTCACCCCAATCAGCGTCCACATATCTTTTCAATGTCTTGGTTCGCAAGGTTTTGCCCAAACGGTGGCGATGTTTCCCGCACTAGTTACTATTGGAAAAGCACCGTTCGCCCATTAAGACGCCGCGAACAACAATGTTTTTCCATAATGTAAAAATTACTGTTCATATGGATGATTGGCCGTGACTAGGAAAAGCGCGAATTTTTTTCATAGCTTTCCCTTCTATTTCAGCTCTTCTTGAACTTTCAAGCCCAGTAACCTATAATAGCTTTGTGCGACCTATCTGTCTCCCCGTGAATGGCTTAGTATTCCCCCCCGGGAAAATCTGCTATGTGACAGGATGGGGATCAAAGGGATGGGACAAGCCACCGTCGGAGTTTTTGCAAGAAGCTCCGGTACGCTTAGTTTCGCGAACGGAATGTAACAAAAAGAAATCCTACGATGGGACTGTTCCAAAGACGGCTTTGTGCGCCGGATACAAGGATGGAGGGATTGATGCATGTCAAAAAGATAGCGGTGGACCGCTAGCTTGTGAATATGATGGACAATGGTACCTCGTGGGCGTCATATCATGGGGAAAACATTGTGCAGTCCCAAATAAATACGGCGTGTATGCTGATGTGCGAGTTCTAAACTCTTGGATTACTGGAGTTGTACAGTAGTTTTAATACCATGAATTCACGATTGTATGTGGCAGTTAAACGAGAAGTGATCGTCTATTACTTTCCCAGTTAGCATGCCCCTTCAGCCAGAACAAGCAAGCAAAGTTTCATTTGGGAAAGGGTTTCTAACATGAGCAGCGTTCTATTTCCATTGAAAAGATTCTAGGATAAAGTTCCAAAATCTATTCTAGCAGTAGAAGTAGGCAATGACCAACTATTTTCTTGAAGTTCTTGCTTTCTACGAGGAACGATTACAGGAGGGGATTATTGTTAAATTTTCATGTGTTTTTGTTTCATATGCCCATGTGTGACACATATTTATTATTCCCACATTGGGAGTTTTTGCAAAACAGAATTACACAGCAGTTAAAATACTTATAAAAATTGAGGACTACATATCTCAAATTTACATTTCTCTTTGAGTTTCTCTTTCCCGCTTGAAGAGAAGAGTACTCTACGTACTGAGATAGTTGATTTAGTCATAGGTTCACAGACTGCAGGTCTAAAGGTGGGTACAATGTGAAGACTGAAACGTAAAGCGCTTTCGAATAATAAAAAAAAAAAAGATGGAGTCCAGCTCAGAGAACATAGTGGAAATCTTTTCGCCTAAACAGTGTAAAACGCCAGAAAACGAATAGAGAATGTTGACACTTTTTTTTCATACTTTTATGGTCAAGACTTTCAAAAGCTTTGTTTGTTGATTAAAACGTTCTGCGGGAATGGTGTCGATATATTTTACTCAGGGAAAAAATTTAACACGGTTAAATTTGGAAATAGTCTTTTTCTTTGTGTGTCCACGGCGGTTTTACCAACTACAACATTCACCGGCCTTTTGCGTGTTTAACTTACAAATGCTGTGTACCGTGATCGTCTTATTCAGTGTGAAATTGCATCTATATGGAAACTCGTTCATTCAACTCCTTACCTGTATCCTTGAGAATTGAAATATGCCAGACTAGTTTTAGCCTTGCAGTGCAGATTCCATTGCTTTCATAAAATCAAGGACAAAAAATGGATTTCAAAGACGAAACTTCCTTTCGAGGAATGAAACATTATAACTGGTTCATAAATAACTGGTTCCTGATCAATTATCAAGTATTTGCAGGTACGTCTTCATATCTGTATGTTTCGTTTGCATGCGGAAAAAGAAAGAAAAATATCGAAAGAGAGAACAATTCTCTTTAAGACTCCAAATTATCGGATTTTTTTTACTGTAGGATTATTGACGGAAGAACGTTAATTTTATGACATGACAACTGTGCTCACCTATGCCACTTTTTGGATATATCCTGCTTTTACCATAGATGACTACAGTTACTTCACTGGGGTCGCGTTGCGGAACTCCTAATCCTTATAGTTATATGCGAACTCGTTTCTTATCAAAATTCGTTTGAAGAAGAGCCTTTCCTGGGGCGGTCTGCTCAGTTCTGACTTCAAGGTACAACGTGAGACCCATTTCTTGCGGGCACTATGAAACCGACACGCGACCCGTGATGACAAATGATACAAAATATATTATGTACTTAGTGAATGCTTGGGAGGCCAAGAAAGCAATATATTTTGTTCGAGGTCCAGATGTAGAGACCGAGGGCAGAAAGGCCTGTACGTCACGACCGATCATAACTTAGTCAATAAGTATTTTATGATACGATTTTGTCATCTTTATTTTTGCATTTTGTATCTCGCAGAGGCGTTCGCTGGCCGTGTGTTTTTTTCCCGCGCCGCGTGCGCGCGAACGCGCACGTCCCTCATACGGAAAATTTTGTTTTATGCTTTTTTCTTTGGCTCAACTTGTCGCACATTAAACATCTCACAATAACCCTTTTTTATTGGTAATGCTAAGGGATTATTGCCGAATGGAAGAAGAAGTGTTCCTGTTCGAAAAGTCATCGCCAGTGCAAGTCGCCTGGTACAGGTCGAAGCAAAAAAAAAAATTTATCATTTTAATGGTGTACAAAATAATCGTGAGGCAATTGATGTTCAGCCATGGAATGCCGCGAGCCGATTGAAGACTGGTTTCTGCAGGCTGTATGTATATTGGCCTGTGTTTGGTTTCAATCAAACGCGTAGTTAGAAAGTGCGGTTGTTTTTCTGCGAGCAAAATGACTTATTCCTCTTTAATAAAACTATCCTGTGGAAGCTGTCAGTTTTGAAACAAAGTTTAACAAACCAACAAACTTTCGATTGATAAATATTGCTCGAAAAGATTTTTGAAGGGCTAGTTAGGCACGATACAAACTTTTTGGGTTAAATTGAGTGCGTGGCACATGAACAGTAATGCACGTTTTGTACGTATAACAAATCAATCTTGCGCTTCAACAACAACAAAAAATAATAAGGTAAAAAACTAGCAAACGGTACACAAAAATACATTTTTAACATGAATTTTCGGTTTATTTCGGATAAAAGGTACTTTATTTCAGTATCTACTAATTGCAAACTATTTCATAAACCTTTAGTTGCCTGTTAGAGTCGTTTCGTGAGTCAACTTTTAAGTCAAGAATTTTGCATTCCTATTTAATCAATCAATTTTCCGTCCATTTAGATAAATTCCATTTGCGTAATGCTAGACAATCACAGCATTTGATCGGTTATTCAGCCAGGTATCCACCAAACCACCACTGTGTTGTGGAAAAATCGCCTCCATTGCAACGGAAATTGGTATTGAAAGCCTGGTGAAAACCAAAGTTGTCCTCACTGGGTGAAGACCCAGCAGTGGGCACGAACCCACAGCCAATACGACTGCTGTCGATGTGAAGCATGTAGGTGTTATGAACCTGCCAGAACCTTGCTGTTGTACCAGGGCCAGCTGCATGTCCACGGATATTTATGTAGTCCACCAACAGGCATTGGCCGTGTCCAAGAAAACCCATGATATCGTTGTTGCTGAAACTTCCCCTTACGTAGTCTCGGTAATCTATGTTATCAAGGTGATTGAAACTGCAGGTTGCTCGCCAGTGTGTCGATGTGCTGCGGAGGCTCTTCATCCGAGAGAGCGTCTGTCGGTACGAGTCCCAGTTCGGCGTCTTGTGGTTAATTGGTGCGTCTTGTGCAAAAGTGCTGCTTCTGAATTGGCTTAGGCTTCTGGACGCTCGATTCCAAGACATGACAAGGGTCCAGGCTGCACCCGGCTCCGATTCAAGGTCGCAGTAAGCAACGTATCGTTGGTACTTATCGTCGAAAAGCCAGTAGAAACCGTTTTCAAACACTCCATTTTTTAAATAGTCCAGGCAGGATCGGGCTATGAAGTTATTTTTTCCCAGGTGGATTCCCTGAGAAAACTGAGACAAATACAATAAAAGAATTAGGAATGTGGCTATGAGCTTATCACGTTCAGCAAGTGCCACTGACCAGTAGTATATGGCTGTTTACTTAATTTTCTCAATTCCGAGAAACACCGTCTGTGTTTTCCAATCAACCACCACTCCGTTTACAGATGTACCCGGCGCTAACTTTGAATGAAGTTATGATCAACAATTAACTTCTCAAAGCACCCAAAGTGCGGACCTGTTTGCCTAGGTTTGCTGAGCTTGAGAATTATTACTACAAAACATGCTGTAAAAAAATTTGCTTGAAAACAAACTTGTTTTTGAGAGGGACCTAAATAAAAAAAAAAAAGATTTTTTTTGTGTTGAGACCACCAAGTTAAACGAGAAAACCTAAGAAGGAACATTTGGTGAACCGAAAGTCAGCTTCGGTTCCCAGACAAAGAAAAAATAACTGGGGAAATTCCAACATTGAGCGTCAAAATAATAAATGCATATTGCAAAGTGTTGAATAACCTCGGGATGAAACAATGGGGGAATGCTGGTGAAAAAACCCGAACCTCAAGCTATCAAGACTCCTCACAACATTTATTTTCCGTAGTAGAGAGCTTCTCGATGGGGTGTTGACGGACCACAGCTAAAGTGACTAGAACGGCCATCAGCTCAAGGGGAAATTTCCAATAAAGACTTAATGTAAGAGCGAACGTATAAATGAACTTTAGCTCGTTCATCTCGTGATACAGAGTCAGGCTAAGAATTGTGTTGATCGCGATCTTGACTGCTTTATGGCCATTTTTCTTGTTGCTATATATAACACCTTGGTTTAGCGTTATTGGTGCGTTTTGGTGGCGTTTTGGTTTCACAGTTCGAGAGTTGTGCTTTTTTACTGTAGGCACCGCGCCTGAGAAATTTCGATTCTCTGTCTATTTGATGCTATTAGGCTTCTTTAATCCTAAGGGTGTGCCAGTGAAAGTCACGTTCAAAAACCGTCCCCTCTGTTTAAGATGTTTACTAAACGACAGCTCGTCAAAGTAATTTTAACACGACAGATTTGAAACTCGCTCACCTTTCCTGCTTTAATAATCTCTAACGGAAAAGCCACCGCGAAAAGCAACACCACAACAGACGAACACATCTTTGAGTATAATGAATGTGCTTGGAGAATCGTGAACTGTAAAGACACGCTGCGTGGTTTATTTATAGATGTTTTTGGGGATAGGATAAGTTTACAATCACGTCCGCAGAAATCATATCCTCCTTAACGAGGATATGATGAGAGGTGCTGAAAGAGCATGTTACACAATATTTTTTTCAGTTAAAACTCGTAAACGTAGGTTGTATGGTGTAGCCAGTTTAGAAGGTGTTTAAGAACACTCTTTTGAGTATAATGAATTAACCTCACCTCATTATACTCGCTTCATTAAGTATAATGAATGTGCTGGAAGAATAGTGAGCTATAATAAAAAACAGACTGGTTTAATTATAGATTTTTTTGGGAAAGGATAAATTTGCAATCACGTCCGCAGAAGTCATTTCCTCCTTTACGAGGATGTAATGAGAGGTGCTGAAAGAGCGCGTTACACAATTTTTTTTTCAGTTAAAACTCGTAAACGTAAGTTTTACAGTATAGCAAGTTTAGAGCGTGCTTAAGAGCACTTCTTTGGTAATGCTAAATCGTAAATGAATTAAAACTATATTTCTTTTGTTTCCGAATACATTGCAAGCAAGAGCTTACCTGCGTTAACCATTGAAAAGAAAAGTAGCAACAAATTGAACACGAAAACTAACAGAGCACGAGGATGACACACACACATGTCTGAAGCATGTTGGGGAGAGAAATAATTTTTTTATTGAATAGAGCGTGAGGCCACGTCTGCAGAGATTAAAGTCTGTGTTTTAGAACAGTTTTTGACCAAAATTTCATTGTATTCTCTAGCTTAGATCACACGCAACTTTGAAATAAAGTGACATGGTCAGCTACACATGCAAGATTGAAGGGGAAATCACGAGTAAGGACGTTTGACTCCACACTCTTTCAACAGAGAGAGTTTGAGTCCTGTCGAAATATATGGAAGTAATGATCGTAATGGATAAAGCTTCGATCGAAGCCGTGGTAAAGGATCGTTCGGCCGGCAAAGAATACACAACTGAACTTTATAATAAATTT